TACCTCTAAGAGGTCGCTAAGACTCTAAATTCTCAATCAAGGAATTCCAATCAATATGACTAAACTCCCCTAGAATTACTAAATTATTGTGCACTGTGGCCCTAACAATTTCCTCCCACAGTAGTCTTCCTTGGTCCTATCCATGTTTGAGGGTGTTACAAAAATGCGATTTCTAATAATGATAGAGATCTCCAGTGACTACTAGAAAGGACTGCCCTTCTAGCATCCAGCCTGTTACTGGGTTTTTGTAACAAGTAGTCAGCATCCTGGTCCAATTATCCATTAGAATTTAATAAGATTCAATAGTGCTTCAGGATTACAACTGGTAGGCTACTAACTAAAGAAATTAAAATTTAATAAGTTTATTAATAACAATAAAGTTGTCTAGGTGTATAAATTTAAAGTAATCAATTGAATATAATATAGGATACAAGCTCCTACACTTCTCTCGTGTACGTTAGTATTGTGCTGAAGGCACATATCACATCTTTATGGCTTTTAAGTACTGTGTGTAAGTGCTCTAAGTAGTTCGCTGTCTCAAGACTCGACTAGACTTAACCAGTGACTGACTAAAAGTCCTCACATAAACTAACTTCTTGACCAACCTGGCAACCAGAACAGCTTGCTTGAACAATAAAACGACTGATAAGCCGAACAGCAATATAACAAGCAACCGTGACACAGAATCAGGAACAAGGAGATAATATAACGACACTAAGTAGGGACCATCTGCAGACCCTACACAAAAGTCACAAGACTCCCATACTACTGAATCTAAGTTCAGCATTAGAAAATCCCCGACTGTGACAATACACAGATACCAGTACAAATTAGGTCAGAAGCTACAGCTCAGGACCTGAGTTTCTCAGTGTCTATGAGACACACAACCTCAGTACAACGTCGAAAATCACTAAGTCTAGGCTATGTTCTGTGAACAGAGTTACACAGAACCAACAACAAGAAAGCGACAGAGACGATCTTCCAACAAGGGCCCGCAATGGAGAGCTGGAGAGGAACCTCTTGTTAGAAGCAACGTCAAACCGACAATCGCTACCTCAGGCCAGGCCGACTCACTCCTGGTGAGGTGTGATCACCCCACCCTGATCACGTGAATCTCAGTGGACTGCTGCTGCCCAGCAACACAGAAGCCGGCAGTGAAACGAGCGAAGTGAAAACTACAATAATTAGACAATGCTGTCAGCTACTTAACACTCAAACTATGAGCACTGACTATATAAATGTTACATCCTACCTAATAATATAACTAAGTCAAATAATATAAAGCAATATATTTACGATTTAGCTAATATCGCAAATATAAGCACTATAAAATTATATGAACAGGTAATATACATTATATACATTGTGACCCATTCAGGGGTCGCAATAGGGGGACAGTATATCACGCCTAAAATCAGTCTTTTGTGCGCCTCTGAAAATTCTACCCAGACTCAGTATATGTTATTTCACCCCCCTTCCCGATATTTCTGTCTACCTGGAACAATTTAAAACCCTGAATGTGACATTCAGCAGGCATGTCCGATAACAGATAACCGTCTCAGTTATGGCAAATACATCAATGTCACTCGCACTTGCAATTAATCTCAATTCACCCATCTTATTTCTAGCACTATGACTATTAGCATAATATAAGTTTAGAAACCCTCCCATCTATTTTCTCTTCCTGCTAATTTCTGTTTTTCCACTATCCCAGTTACTGGCCTTATCACCTAGTGCCACTGGCTTTCCAATATTCAGCAATAATTCTACCTCATTCTGCCTATAACTGGTTTCCCTAAAACTCATGCTATCCCTACACTGAGAATTCATTGCTTTCCCACAAAAACCCATATCACTATTTCTAATTTAAAGACCTAATAGCTCCCTCCACTGCATTGGCCAGGGCCTCCACCCCAAAGCTAGATAAGTGAACCATTCCAGGTATGCGTGTCATTTCTGTCACAGAAGAGGTCCCAGTTGTCTATGAATGTTACTGCATTTTCCTTACAGTGTTTGCCCAGCTAGCAATTGACAAAACTGCCTTGGACAACCATTCACTTCCAACTCCTCTCCTCTACAAAATGCCACATATCACAGAGTTCCTACCCTTCTTGCTAATTATCTCTATTGCTATCCTATACCTGCTTATCAGGTCTTCACTCTGTCAACATCGTTGCCTCCAGAACTGAGGCAGATAATAGGATAGCTCCTATTACCTTTCATGTTGTTGTCTAGATGGCTAACAATATCCTCCATCCCAGCCCCCAGGAAAACATACCCTGTCTCCTCTTCCTATCGCTAAGACAAAAAGCCCTATCCATAAACTTAACCTGTCTCCAACTAAAACAATGTTATCTTCACTGGCGGAGTTTGTTGTGGCGCTCTTGGTCTTCGCTGAGATGGTCTTCATCGGAATGGTCTTCACTTGGGTTTCAAGGGATGTCAACTCACCTCTCATCTGCCAATGCTTCCTTAGTGCTTGTGACGTTCCCTATAGACAACCCACATTCGTCGGGTAGCACAGAAAATGGGTCGAAGTTTTCACAGTAGTCTTCTGGTTCTTCGTTGTTTCTGCCACTCCGTCCGTCTTCTTGATCCTCGGCTTCGTTCCATGTTGCCCGGCCACTTACCAGGTTCCCCTCCTGACCTAAGGACTTACAACAGGAAGATTACCACAGATCCTCTTGTTTCCCTTGGTCTCGAGCTTGGCCACCCTAAGCTGCTGATAAAGTTGTTCAATGGAGGACATCATGGTTCAGATTCACAGACAGTGCACTGAGACCTGGTCTCAGACCAGGCCGAGGTGGCGTTGACCCTCGAAACCCTCTTCAGGTAAACTCCAGGTGGACACGTCCTCACAGAGCAAGGTACAGGTCACCACTGAGCAAGGTACAGGTCACCACGAGTTTTGCTCACACAGTTAACTTTATCAAGTCACAAAGAGGACAGGATAGACAGGGACAGTGTTCGAGAAACGGGATAAGAACAGGAAAAACAAGGACACAGCTGGAAGTTAAAAACTTACATGAGTCAGCCTTAGAGTTGTCAGGAAGTGGAATTACCTGGACAGTGGAATGATAGACAGGATCAATACACAGCTTTAAGAAATGGTACCATACAGCTCTGGAAGGAAGGAGTGATCCTAGTAGTGGTCAGTGAAGGGGCAGGGCCAAGAGCAGAGAATCGACCTCTGCAACCACTTACAAGTACATGATGCCACTGCACTAGGATGATTGAAATAGCTCATTAAAATTTAACTTTTCCTGTGAATGGGACAGATCATCCTGAGAGATGGAAATTCCCAAGTTATAGTAACTTCAGTTCTGCTGGAATAAAACCTTGTAAGTCCTAGTAGCTTATGAACATTTAACGGAATATTTGACGATATCCTCATTGCTCTACTGAAGTCACGCAGCTCAAGATGACTTATTGCAACACTGCACATAAACCATCCTGTATGATGAAGTATATATATATAGAACAGGGTAGCAACACACTTCTGTAGAACCCAATTTTGCTTATAAAAGCCTCTACATACAGCAATTATAATCAAAAGAAGCGGTAAACCTCAAGGGTTCCATACATGCAGCAAGAAACTCAAACTAGCAACTCTTCCGATGTCATGTTCAAGGTTGTATCTTTTAGCTTCCGCTTTAAATCTACGTATTCCATCAATTCTTTTTAAACAAAATGCTGGTATGCGAATTTCTTATTAAAATGTAATGAATTCTTTACTTTATAATGCAATCCAAATTGCGTCACAAGTGGACATTACCGAGTATTAAGAAATAATATAATCTCGAGGTTCGTTAATAACCACATTATTATCACATATCAGGCAAAAGCCTGGGTTCGATTCCTAGCGAAGGTAGAAACATTGGGCGTGTTTCTTTACACCTGTTATCTATGTTCCCCATCAGTAAAATGGGTACCTGGGTGTTAGTCGACTGGTGTGGGTCGCATCCTGGAACAATGACCTAATTTGCCCGAAATACTCGGCATAAAAAGCGGCTTTCTATATAGTAGTATGTCATTAATGTCAGCTAGGACTGTATACCTTGTACTTGTAGTAAATAAAGATATTATTATTAATATTACTATGTTTTACCAGCTAAGTAACTAGGCAAGACTGATCACTTTACCGCTCCATGCGATCTCATGAATGAGTTACAATAATTATCACATGAACTTTTTCATTACTATTATAGTACAATGAAACCAAAAGATCTTTCCATGTCTGGCATAAATTAAGAGTGAAAAAAATAGGTTTTAAAAAATAATTTAAAAATATATATAATTGTAGACATGAAATTATATTTGTATAGGTAACTAATAGAGGAACCATATGAATTCCGAACACTCAATGTATCTCTTGCACGCAATAAACTTGGCTCTAGTCCTGACTTCTCTCTTCGACTCAAGACATTCCTCTCACCGTCTATTCTTCGCCCTGTCCCCACTTGCCCCTCGCCCTTCGTGAGTCCTTACCTGAGAGTCCTCTGGTCTGATCTTGTAGCATCACTATACCTGTGTACGTCTTGTGTCCAGTGTTTACCTATCTACCAGCTGATGTTACTCTATACATTTTTTTAATGAATCTAAAATGAGGACCTACCTAAATATTTTGTCAAGTTACTCCTGCATTTTTGTCATCATAGTGAATCAGGAGAGACAAGGCAACACTCACTCTATTGAGGGAAAATTACATGTCTCTTTCCTTATTAACAAATTCTATACATAACAGACCATTATCTGAATGTTATATAATCTATACATATCTTAAATTACAGTATATAATATAATGGGTAGAAGTGTATTATCTGGGTGCAGTGGCGCAGCCAGTATTTCAATCTGGAAGGGGCTTAAAAAATCATAAGACGCTTAAAAATCATGTTTTTTTTTTCCAGTACTAGTCAATATAATACATTGAAAATTGGCAAATACTTTAAAAAAAAAAAAAAAAAAACATTGGATCAAGGGGAGGTTTTAGCCCCCCCCCCCCTCTGTGGCTTAGCCATTGTCTGAGTGGCATGAGGTTCGGAGTCAGTGTTGCCACATCGATCTCGGACAATTCCCACTAATGAGTGAGATTTTCGCCACAAAATCCCCATCCCAAAATATGTATTAAACCCCACAAACTTTCCCACAAAAAAATTAAAATTATACATAATAACAATCACAGTATTTAGTTTAAATTTATTATCACAAGATTTCAGAAGTAAAGCAAAGGTAAATTGTTTGAAGACATAAAATTTAAACTACCATAAACCATGAGTAAAATGTAACAAGCTCCAACATGCTACAGTAACAGTCTACAGTGGCATAAGTAAACAAAACATTACAAGTAAAATGGGAACACAGATGGTAACATAAGCTATGGTTGCATGCTGTGGGTATCGCCGGTAAGATTATGGGGAATGACTTCATTGTTAAAGTAATCGGTAAATGATAAGCATCCTCATACCTTGAGGATGCTTATCAGTTCAAGTGTGACAATTCTTTGCTGTTCATCTGTATTTTCTCCTTTAACCTCACTACTTCCCTTAGCAGTCAAGTTTTTTTCAGCATATCTTCAGAAGGTATGAAATTCACGCATGATATTCCCTGAAGTGATACTCCATACCTTATCTGAAGTACTGCCTCAAATGACCGTACACTTAAGCTATTCCTCAATTTAAAGTGAACCACATTCATCTGTGAAAATATTCTCTCGTCTAGCATTAGAAAAGGGAAGGGAAAATAATGCTAATGCCAGAGATGACATACGTATTTGGGTCCTTTCGTTCTGCAGAATGTTGATTCTCATTTACCTCAGCCTATAAGGAGAGACTATCGTCCCAACATAATTTCGGCCACTGATCAAGATTAACAACATTCCACTCATTTTGAAGTCGTCCATGTCTAAAAATGGAGACTTATTTGCCTTAAGAAATAGCATTAGTCGGATGTAATTTTAACACAAAAAGCGTTTCAACAATTCACGGGATTTGAACCCATGGCGAGTAAGTCAACATTACGAGGCAGTGGCAACTGTACTTAGACTTAATAATTGTTGCACGATACTTTCACAACGTTACTTGATATAACTAACTATTGCATTGTTCAAAAGACAAGCATTTGCGCAGGTAATTAAATGAGCCAAGGTTAATGAATCTGATATTACGTGTCGGGATATAAATATCATTTCTTACGTTAGGTAGAATTTCTTCTGAACAGACACGTAGCCTGGTTCGACACTATCTGTATCAATCAGATTACGGTATATGTCAACAAGATCTGAGAGTTCAGTGGTATTAACATTCTGTCTTGGCTGTATTTTTTATCACTCATAACGTCCGGTCTCTACGAAGTGACAAGTTGTAAGAGTAGAGTCGAGTGACTGGAGTAGGCTCAGCAGGTGGAGACTAGCAGCAGCTGGACAGGGAGGAGTCATTTTTGGGACGGAGCGTCACAGACGAGTTCCCTCAAAGTACTAAACCTCGTTTTTGGCATATAATTCACTTATACCCTTATTTAATTAACATGAAATATGTGTTGCTTAGTGAAAATATCCGCTGAAACCGACTAGGCTGTGAGGTTTTTTCCCACCTCAAAAGTCACGCATGAGATAAAGTATCCTTACAACATCGTATAAGATGTTAAACTCCACAAATTTGGTATATATGTAATCCCACATGTGAGGCCATTCTCCCACAAATTTGTGGGAAATTTACACAAACTGGGAACACTAAACTAGGTGAGTACAAATAGGAAGCGCGTCTGTCTGGCGCTCAGCAGACGGAGGATCAAGTCTCCACGTCATGCGCTGAATGATCCCCATGGATTTAGCGCTTAACATAAATTATTATTATTATTATTATTATTATTATTATTATTATTGCAGTTGAGTATGCGGAGTCTAAGTTATAATGGTTAACTGCCGAAGAAAATTCCCTGGCCATCGTAATAGAAAAGTGCTTTCATTGTAAACAGGGTAATGAATTATATTACTTAAACAGTGTATGAGAGAAAAAAAAAGTGATTCTTTTCTCTGGTGTGTACTGTATGTGGGTTAGCCACTTGTCTATACACCAGGCAGATTGTGTGTACATCTTGTGTGTAGGAGTGCCTCCAGCCTTGCAGACTGTGCACGCATTGTGTGCAGGTTAACCTTACACTGCAGATTATGTGTACGTATTATGTGTAGGTTAGCTTCTAGCCTACACACATTGCAGATTGTCTAATGAATCTACATAAATCCCCATTTAAAGCCTACTGCGAGTGACTGTCATCATGGATACGCAATAGTCCACATTGTTAGTGGGAACGTCTTTTACCTGGTCAACCTTACTAGGCTAGACCAACTAACTTTTAATGTTGCTAAAAGCTAACTTAAATGCTTAATAGAATTCAATAAGAATTATTTAAAAAATAAAGCCTTACAAAGCCTAATCTAACAGCGCCAGCTAAATAGCATTAATGAGCCTTTTACACATTTTAACCGAGACACACATTAAGTTTAATACGTGGAACAGTGGTAAAATAACACAACATTAAGGTGACAAAAGAACACTAATGCAAAAACACCTCATTAATGTAACACTACAATGGTAAGACAACAATGCTAATACGAAAACAACGTTAACAGAACATTAGGATAACAACGTTAACAGAATACTAAGATAATAATGTTAACAGACACTAGACTAACAATGTTAACAGAACACTAGAATAACATAGCAATGTTAGCAACAGAATACTAAGACAACACAACAATACTAAAGTAACAAGACACTGTTCGCACACCATTCACTTTGTCTTAAATTCTACTTAACACTATATTCCTCATGTTTAAACACTCATTATTTTATTTCTTCATCAATCTGTCTTATTAAGGTTGTTGGTGCTGGAGTTTGTATCGCTGCTGGAAGTTTCTTGAGCAGATGAGCGGTAGTCCTGGAGAGAGCCACCTGCCCGCAGCTTGCGCACTGCTATGGCCAAGATGAGCACCGTCCACACCACGTTGAGCACCAGCAGCCCTGTCAAGAGACCCATGAAGAGGTACGCGGAAGGCATGAACATGTAGGTGGTGGCCTCAAAAAACACGCTGCGCATCACCCAGAACGGGTACATGTAACAGCGGGTGAAAAGCCATAATAGTAAGAATACACTAAAGAGGGCGTCAGTGAGGGCATCCAGGCCCGCATGTTTGCAGAGCTTGGCGGCCAGTAGCGGCACGTCGGCACACTCGTGCACTACCAGTACCACGCTGCCCACCCGCACGAAGTTGCACGTCCATGAGAATACCATAAGTAAGATGGTGAATATGTGGTGCAACAGCATCTGTATACGAGCAGACATTTTAATGCTTGGCTTGGGCAAATGAATAAAGGTTACCGACCAGTAATAACCCAGACACAGCACGTAGTACCACCAGACGTCGCTAGTGAGGCTGTGGTGAGGGTAATCTTGCCAACAAAGAGTGATGTTCCACAGCCACGGCTTACTGTACATGATGGAGAGACCCAACATGCAGAAAGACAGATGACACAGAAAATCATAAGCACAGTCCAAGAACTTATCATACTTAGTGCAGCGTGTGATGGTGTGTCTGCGCCGCAGCCAACGCTCTACCTGCCGCTGTGACATTTGCCCAGCCTCACATACCTCCTTTATTACCATAGTAGGTACCGTCCCGCGGTGCTGTCGGTACACCTCCTCTAGTACGCTGTTGGGTGCTGGTGGTGCTCCCCGTCGACTGCTGATGCCAGCAGCCCTAGCCAGGGGACAGAACACCCAGGGCTCCAGAAGAAAGTATCGCAAAACAATGAAAACCAAACTGAACAACAAGGGATAAATCCAGACATCGTAAAAATCAGGGAAGGTAAAATGATGGGTGTTGCGAAGATGGTCCCAGGTGATACCAGGAGGCAACCAGAAGTCTGCTCGCCAGAGGCTGCTCCACCAGCCCTCCCACCACAACACTCCCGCCTGCAACACAACACCAATTAGCTCAACACTACACTACGCCAACCTACACTATACTCATAATATGCAGTCAATATTAACTACATTACACATCATTCATATGCTAAATGAGCTATAAACAAATACAGTATATCAGAGAACTTGACCTAGTAGTCAAAAATACAATTAAGTGAACATGCAATGTGGCGATACTAGGCAGCATCACAGGCAGGATAAACCGTCCCGGTATATACCAGTAATCCACTAAAACATGCAGCCTCACACATCTGGTGCGGGTGTGATCCTGCACATTACAGCTTCTACCATCGTATGTCAACTGTCGCTGGCTAATGTTAAGAAAGTGTACAAATCAGGAAAGACTGCAGCAAATAAAGTAGATATAGTTGCAAAAGATAAAGCAATAGATAAAGTAGTAAAGGCTGTAGTAGACGATGAATTATACAAGAAAATCTTACGGTTGTTTCTTAATACTACACAGGAAATTATATTTAATTCCAAAGGCCTCCTTGACTAAGGCCAGCTGTGTTGTATGCTAAATAAAAAAGAGTAATATTAACATACATTTTGAGTCTTATAAAATAAAAAGTTCTTGATAAGTAAACTGTTAGAGAAAACGAGTAGCACCAAGATATGATATCCAAGGCAGGTAGTAAGTTGTAGTGGCAAGTTGCAGTGGTAAGTGGCAAGTTGTAGTGGTACGTGGCAAGTAGCAAGTTGTAGTGGTAAGTGGCAAGTAGCAAGTTGTAGTGGCAAGTAGCAAATTGTAGTGGTAAGTGACAAGTAGCAAGTTGTAGTGGTAAGTGGCAAGTAGCAAGTTGTAGTGGCAAGTAGCAAGTTGTAGTGGTAAGTGACAAGTAGCAAGTTGTAGTGGTAAGTGGCAAGTAGCAAGTTGTAGTGGTAAGTGGCAAGTTACTATAGTGGCAAGTTGTAACAAGTTGTAGCGGCAAGTACCAAGTTGTAGTGGTGGAAAGTAGCAATTTGTAGTGGTAAGTAGCAAGTTACTATAGTGGCAAGTAGAAAGCTGTAATGGAAAGTTGTAGTGGCAAGTAGAGAGCTGTGGTGTGTCACGCAAATTTAAAACTCGTCAGGAAAAAAGTAATCATAACAGTATTGAAAAGGCACTTCACTAGCCGAGCTGCCAGGGGAGGCAGGTGGCAACTCAGAACTGAAGAGTGCTTTGACCTGGTAGATCACTCAGCGATCGTGACAATCAAAATCATGAAACACGCAAGAACATCTAGGGTAAAATTAAACAACAAAATAAAAACAACTAGCATGGACAACACGTACAACAAATGCTATCACACCAAGTTAAAATAACCCGCATCAGTTGACAACGTCATTACATTGTTAATATTATTGGACTGTCAAAGTTCTCAACGGGAACCCAAATACTCGCTTGTCAGGGGTCGCTGGTTCGAGCCCCAAGAGCCTTTAAAAACACTTTAGTGAATATTCCAGTAAAACTATACAAATATCCAGCTACTTAAAAAATTGCTATGTAAGATAAAAGGCCATAATCAAGTGCATGCCACAAGTCACACACATGGGTAAGAACACCAACAAGCAGGTAGCTATGGGTGAAGGATGTGCCTGAATCTACAGTCTCAAGTGACAGTTCCTGTTGCAGGAGGAAGGCTAAACACCCACACGCATTTGAATTTTGTATAAATAGGTGCTCGCCTTTAGGGTCCATGTGCCTGGCACTTTCCAGCTATGTGGCCCATAAAAAGATCGAGACAGGTCTGCTATAGAACAACCTCATCATCCGCTCGTTCATTTCCAAGGACTGAGACATGGTCATTGCACCAGCAGAACTCCACGTTCTTATGCTGAACGTGGAGATGGCATGAGAATCTTCGAACTACAGGGTGGACAGACATACTGCACCAGGGAAAAAGTACACTGAGAATCCGAGTAAACAAACTGAGATCCACCTAAACCCTACATTGGATATTAAAACTATCCTTGACTGGTGGTTTACACGTGACATGCAACATTAATAACCGTCCTGTGCTCGATAGGTCATTAATACAATAAACGAACCATATAAGTATTGTAATGCAGTGGCTCTTACTAAAGCTGAAAAAATACTTCCTGACATTCTTGCCGCTTATTCTGGTGTGTAGTTTCCAACCCTGCCTCCTCTGTCATATTATATACTTGGTATATACCCTATCCCTGCCACCTCAGGATATACCCTGCATTATAGGACATAATCATATCCCCTTTATTCATTCTTCCATCGACATTCGGTCCCCTTTCACATTCTTTGCACTTAGATTTGAGGTTGGAGAAAATTACCCCATATGGGGTAAAAATGAAAATCTCGGGGGTAATGAAGGCTCAGTAAACATAAATAAAACTGCACAAAAAATTATTATTTAATAAGTGAAGCAAATTATGAAGGTTATATTTTTTCAAAAGAAGTTGCAAAGGTTGGTTGATGAGTCTGGCACGGTATGTAAAAGAAGGAAATTAAAAGTATATGTAAGAAAGGGTGATGATGATAACCAAAAATTAGGTAACGGAAGACTGGATGTCAGATTGGAAGGAGAGAGTATGGAGGAGGTGAATGTATTCAGATATTTGGGAGTGGACGTGTCAGCAGATGGGTCTATGAAAGATGAGGTGAATCATAGAATCGATGAGGGGAAAAAGGTGAGCGGTGCACTTGAGGAATCTGTGGAGACAAAGAACTGTGTCCATGAAAAGAAAGAGGGGAATGTATTTGAGTATAGTTATACCAACGCTCTTGTATGGATGTGAGGCATGGGTGGTGAATGTTGCAACAAGGAGAAGGCTGGAGGCAGTGGAGATGTCATGTCTGAGGGCAATTTGTGGTGTGAATATAATGCAGAGAATCTGTAGTTTGGAGATTAGGAGGTGCGGGATTACCAAAACTATTATCCAGAGGGCTGAGGAGGGGTTATTGAGATGGTTTGGACATGTAGAGAGGGTGGAACGAAATAGAATGATTTCGAGTGTATAAATCTGTAGTGAAGTCGGGGTAGAGGTCGGCCTAGGAAAGGTTAGAGGGAGGGGGTGTAAATGAGGTTTTGTGTGCGAGGGGCTTGGACTTCCAGCGAGCAAGCGTGAGCATGTTAGATAGGAGCAAATGGAGATAAATGGTTTTTAGGACTTGACATTCTGCTGGAGTGTAAGGTAACATTTGTGAAGGGATTCAGGGAAACTGGCAGGCCGGACTTGATTCCTGGAGATGGAAGTACAGTGCCAGCACTCTGAATGAGGGTTGTTAGTGTTGCAGTTTTATAACTGTAGTGTAAGCATGCCTCTGGCAAGACAGTGATGGAGTGAATTATGAAAGTTTATCTTTTTCAGGTCACCCTGCCTTGGTGGGAAACGGCCAATGTGCTAATAAAAAAAATATTTTTTCAAACAATTAATTTTTTCTTAATAAAATTAAAAATCTAATTTGTAGGGACCATTTAAGATGGCAATAATGTAAAACGGGTATAGATTCCAGCAGATGGAAATATTGCGAGTATCAGCAATGAGTCAGGAGCCGGCACAAAAACCAAATGTCCCTTTGTCGACATCACATAACTTTTGACCTTGTGTCCTATCTCGTTATCAATAATTGTCTGCTCGCAGTCAACATTAGTGCATTGTTTGTGTTAGTAGTTTTACGACATTCGACGACAAAAGTAAGGTAGTCTTTTGTGATTTGTCATAACAATTAGGAGTGTACAATTTAATATTTATTTATATTTTATTTATTAGAGTTCATAATTCCATTTATAGATATTTGATAGTACTCATATAATATAAATATTTGGCGGTTTTCTATTAATTTTATATTCATTTCTTTTTTATTTTTGTATCCCGGTCTTCATGAGTAACAATGTTAAAGTTATATAATATGCTAAAATCATATTATCCATTTGTTTCTCAATCATTTTCACTTTCACCCTTCAGATGGCATCAAATAGGAAAAGGGCGTACCAGGAAGTTCCTCAATTATGGCTTCACAGAAATAGAAGTTGGATGTTCCTTGTGTTTTCCGGATTCTGTGGACTTCCAAGCCCAAAAATAGTTCGCCGACTTCTGACTTAGATCGTTCCCCTCAACTCAGGTACTAATTGTGGACATTATTTTGGGCTAACAAAATATTCCACGAAACGTTTTATAGTTTGAACTTTAAGAGCCCTGAATATACCCACTTACATAACATTTGTACATAATATTTATCCTTCTAAGAGGAGTTACGTAGATACACAAAGGAGTAAAATAACCTAGGGATTATTAATCCAGTTTTAGGACCTAAAATATGTAGGATTAGGTTTACTATAGTAGAATTAGAGAGCTGGCAGTTCAGAATTCGAATAAAGTCAGTTAAGAAAAGCTAGGGAGAGCAGTTGCTACTCAATAACGACCCCGAGTGGATGCAACAAGTGTATAGCCAGAAAAACCGGCTTCCATACACTTGGCTGGGGAACAAGATAACCTTGAGCGGTTTCCCAAAGTATAGGATACTCGTCCCTATCAGACACACTTGCAGTGAGACGAAATCTACAATTCCTAGCAACACAGTCGGCCGACATTGGGGAAAAGTAGGTAACTAATCTGTGAGAGAATGCAACTGGACACTCGGAGTGAAGTCCGTCTCCACATGTGGTGTCCAGAGGGTCAGGGAACATCGAGCTCCTTCCACCAAGTGAGTTAACTCTACGTTTTGTAGTCTCACTTCAGCAGCAGTAATTGGAAATTTGTTGCAAGAGCCATTTTTAAGCCTTGGAGAATCAACTCGGGGCGTCTTTAAACTTTCTCGGACAGTAACTTATTCTGATTATCTGTAATTACCTATTTATAATTATCTATATGTAGCTAAAGGAGCAGAGAGCTATGCTCGTGGTGTCCAACCTTCAATACTCGGTTCATGACTGATTTTAACCTGGTGACCGTCAGTTTTGTGTATCCATATGTTCTTGCGCCACCCTCCACAGGATATGGGGTGCATAATAAACTAGGCGCTTCGGCGGCAAAATTTAAATCTTGACTAGGCATGAGCTCCTTACTGGGGCCGTGTACTCAGTGACTGGCCTAAGTTAACATATTCGCATGTAAGTACCAAAGAATCCGTTGTTAAGAGTTTCTGACTGCTGTCCTGCGGTGTGCTAATTTTGCATATGACGCTACCGTTGTAAGGTTTATATGCAAGTCTGTCGATATGCTTGGTGTTATATTTATCGCCAGATCTTTTTTGTTGTATGATACTTTTAAGTTTCTACCGCTAATACTGTGTCCAGTCCTCTCTCACCTCGTTGGTATGAACTCTAAAATTTACTTACTTGTTTGAAAACTTTTTTTTTAGTAACCAAAGAGATTTCCTCACTACTTCAGTTATTTCAATATCTTATATTTCGCCTACCTGCTACTCGGTGAAGGAGATACGGGAGATAAGAGCATAAGAACATAAGAAAGAAGGAACACTGCAAAAGGCCTACTGACCCATGCGGAGCAGGTCCATGACCCCCCCCCCCCCCCGGATGAGCCCAATGACCCACCCAGTCTGGTCACTTCCACTCAAGGATGGAGCACTGTACCAGACCCAACAGCACAAACTAGTCAGGTCCAACTCACACCCGCCCATACCCACTCATGTATTTATCTAACCTATTTTTAAAACTACACAACGTTTTAGCCTGAATAACTGTACTCGGGAGTTTGTTCCACTCATCCACAACTCTATTACCAAACCAGTGCTTTCCTATATCCTTCCTGAATGTGATTTTTTCCAACTTGAAACCATTGCTACGAGTCCTGTCTTGGCTGGAAATTTTCAGCACGCTATTTACATCCCCTTTATTTATTCCTGTTTTCCATTTCTACACCTCGATCATATCCCCCCTAATTCTACGCCTTTCGAGAGAGTGCAGATTCAGGACCCTCAGTCTATCCTCATAGGGAAGATTTCTGATACATGGGATCATCTTTGTCATCCTCCTTTGTACGTTTTCCAGAGCATTTATATCCATTCTGTAATACGGTGACCAGAACTGAGCAGCATAGTCTAAATGAGGCCTAACCAAGGATATATAGAGTTGAACAACCTGAGGACTTCCATTATTTATACTTCTAGATATGAAGCCAAGAATTCTGTTAGCTTTATTGCGAACACTAATGCACTGTTGTCTTGGTTTTAGATTACTGCTAACCAGAACTCCTAAATCCTTTTTGCAATCAGTAGTATTAAGATCTACATTATTTAGTATAAGTGAGATTAGGATTCATATTCTTTACACACTGAAGGTTTGTTTAATGCCTCACGCATTTCTTCCTCTGCCTCAGTGATTTTGTCGCTGTCCATTATTCTTTGTAGTTTATCTAACATTAAGCTTGCTGTTTACAACCCTGAATAAAACATTTGTTTTTACTTTGCTCCAGTCTACTATTTCTTAAAGCTTCTGTCTTCCCCGTTTGTATATTGACTTCTGGATTTTTTAATGTTGCCCATAGTCTTCAAATTCCATTAACCAACCAACCAACTGAAAGGACAATACAGGATATGTTACACTGAAAGGTGTATTTGAGCATGTATATGCTACTTTAGGGATTAAGGTATTTTAGTTTGGTGGGGAAAAGGTTACGTGCAGCCTTAAATCTCTAGTAAGTTCCTTGATTGGCCTATTTCCTATATTCAAAATTATTCATATATTTTTCACAGCTCCAACAAATTCCATTAAACCATTCTTTATCATATTCATTTTCTGGAATAAACTTTGCGATTACATTTTCACGTTTACAACATAATATAATCACTTCTTCCTCTGTTTTAGTAAACAGATCAGCTTATACGGCATACATAACAGTACTCGAAGCCGGAGCGCCACCATAGAACTCTCATCAGGCATACAAAGAAACTTAAGAGATCTGCATGGCTAGTCCCAGAGCTATGAGGACTGCGATACCAAGATAGATTACGAGGAACATGTTGCATATCTAGACAGGACAGACTGATAGGATGGAAGGCAACAAGGCGAGGACAACTGGAAACAATTCCAGTGACCAGAGGGGACATTAAAAAAAAATTCCTTCACTGAGAGAAGAGTGAACGAAAGGTAAGAGTTGACACGAGATAAATTGAGAGTTAAACCAGTCCTGTACACGGATTCGACCAAGGTTATATTCGCCCAGAGGTATGTACCTCTTGTTGTAAGTTTACTTTTTTCATTTTTTAGGTAATTAAGTATTGTAGACTTGTGTTAATAACCTGTTGTTTAGTCGGTAGGCTTTGTACCCAACATGAATTCAAATATACGTACGAGAGACCTACAACGGAAAGAGCAAGTTACTCCAGTTAACTGACAAGCAAAGGCATGTCACAAAAGATGTTGCTTCTCGCTCTCACAACCACATGAATCCGCAGCGCGCGCGTGTGTGTACACTCACCTAATTGTGGTTCCAGGGGTCGAGACTCAGCTCCTGACCCCGCCTCTTCACCGAGTGCTACTAGGTCCTCTCTCTCCCTGCTCCATGAGCTTTGTCATACCTCATCTTAAAATTTGTATGGTTCCTGCCTCCACTACCACACTTGCTAGGCTATTCCACTTCCTGAATACTCTATGACTGAAGAAATACTTCCTAACATCCCTTTGACTCATCTGGGTCTTCAACTTCCAATTGTGACCCCTTGTTTGTGTCCCCTCTTTGAAACACCCTGTCTCTGTCCACCTTGTCTATTTCACGCAGTATTTTGTATGTCGTTATCTTGTCTCCCCTAACCCTCCTGTCCTCCAGTGTCGTCAGCCCGATTCCCCTTAACCTTTCTTCATAGGATATTCCCCTTAGCTCTGGAACTAACCTTGTCCCAAACCTTTGCACTTCCTCTAATTTTCTGACGTGCTTGATCAAGTGTAGGTTCCCAACAGGTGCTGCATACTCCAGTATGGGCCTGACGTACACGGTGTACAGTGTCTTGAACGATTCCTTACTAATGTATCGGAACGCTGTTCTCAGGTTTGCCAGGCGCCCATATGCTGCAGCAGTTATCTGGTTGATGTGTGCTTCCGGAGACATGCTCGGTGTTATGCTCACCCCAAGATCTTTCTCCTTGAGCGAGGTGTGCAGTCTTTGGCCACCTAGCCTATACTCCGTCTGCGGTCTTCTGTGCCCTTCCCCTATCTTCATGACTTTGCATTTGGCGGGGTTAAATTCGAGAAGCCAGTTGCTGGACCAGGTGTCCAGTCTGTCCAGGTCTCTTTAATGTCCTGCCTGATCCTCATTTGATTTAATTCTCCTCATTAACTTCACATTATCTGAGAACAGGAACACTTGTGAGTCTAGCCCTTCCATCATGTCTTTCACATACACCAAAAATATCACTGGTCCTAGGACCGACCCCTGTGGGACCCCGCTCGTCACAGGTGCCCACTGTGATACCTCATCACATACGTACGCGTGTGTGTGTGTAAGTTTATTCAGGTATACACAATACAGTTACATAGAATTATCATATATATAGCGAAATATGTGTAAAGTACCTAGGATAACCCAAAAAGTCAGAGTGACTTATTTCCAGATAGAGTGTGTGTGTACTCGCCTAGTTGTACTCACCAAGTTGAGGTTGCAGGGGTCGAGTCCGAGCTCCTGGCCCCGCCTCTTCACTGTGTGTGTGTGTGTGTGTGTGTGTATGTGTATACTCACCTAATTGTGGTTGCAGGGGTCGAGACTCAACTCCTGGCCCCGCCTCTTCACTGATCGCTACTAGGTCCTCTCCCTCTCTGCTTCCTGAGCTTTGTCATACCTCTTCTTAAAACTATGTATGGTTCCTGCCTCCACTACTTCACTTGCTAGGCTATTCCATTTCCTGACGACTCTATGACTTAAGAAATACTTCCTAACGTCCCTGTGACTCGTCTGAGTCTTCAGCTTCCAGTTGTGACCCCTTGTTTCTGTGTCCCCTCTCTGGAACATCCTATCTCTGTCCACCTTGTCTATTCCCCGCAATATCTTGTATGTCGTTATCATGTCTCCCCTGACCCTTCTGTCCTCCAGTGTCGTCAGTCCGATTTCCCTCAACCTTTCCTCGTACGACATTCCCCTGAGCTCTGGGACTAGCCTTGTTGCAAACCTTTGTACTTTCTTTAACTTCTTGGCATGTTTGACCAGGTGTGGGTTCCAGACTGGTGCTGCATACTCCAGTATGGGCCTAACATACACAGTGTACAGTGTCTTGAACGATTCCTTATTAATGTGTGTGTGTGTGTGTGTGTGTGTGTGTGAGAGAGAGAGAGAGAGAGAGAGAGAGAGAGAGAGAGAGAGAGAGAGAGAGAGTGAGTAACCCCTGAGCAACCACCTCCGTCTCTCCACTTATCTGTTTCTACATGGGGGCGGACCATGAAGGCTGTGAGTGTCCACTTGATCCTTAACAATGGTCACTTGTTACGCTCACCACCTACCTTTACACCACATCCTAGTATATCTTTATTTGTAAACGATAATACATCTACAAATGTGCGTAAAATGTATGTACTTCAGAATGACAGGAATGCTAAAAACCATAGCTTTGCCCATTAACATTATTAGATACACCACCATGCAACAATGCCTTTTACCTAACATTTGAATACTTGTAGCAGGTATGAAGTCATCTTGAAAATAAATGGTATAAATACCGACACAATGGAAACAAACACATATGCAGTTTAATGTGATCCTTTATTGACAACGTTTCGCCCACACAGTGGGCTTTTTTCAAGTCACAAACAGATCTGTTTGTGACTTGAAAAAGCCCACTGTGTGGGCGAAACGTTGTCAATAATGGATCACATTAAACTGCATATGTGTTTATGTTTCCATGAAGTCATCTTACACACTGGCTTCTTGTACAGAATGTGAATATCAGCGCTCTCGTTAAACAAATTTGGCTAATAAAATTACGGCAGTATTTTCATACGAGCAAAATTAAACTTAGCAAACCACTAGCTAGTCTTGTTGCCAACAAGTAACGTGCCGGAGACGGGAAAGACGGCTAACTTGTTGCCAACAGGTAACATGCCGGAGACGGAAAAGTCGGTTAACTTGTTGCCAACAGGTAACGTGCCGGAGACGGGAAAGACGGCTAACTTGTTGCCAACAGGTAACGTGCCGGAGACGGAAAAGACGGCTAACTTGTTGCCAACAGGTAATGTGCCGGAGACGGAAAAGATGGTTAACTTGTTGCCAACAGGTAATGTGCCGGAGACGGAAAAGACGGCTAACTTGTTGCCAACAGGTAATGTGCCGGAGACGGAAAAGATGGTTAACTTGTTGCCAACAGGTAACGTGCCGGAGACGGGAAAGACGGCTAACTTGTTGCCAACAGGTAACGTGCCGGAGACGGGAAAGACGGCTAACTTGTTGCCAACAGGTAACGTGCCGGAGACGGGAAAGACGGCTAACTTGTTGCCAACAGGTAACGTGCCGGAGACGGGAAAGACGGCTAACGTGACACCCATTTATAAAACTAGAAAAAATGATTTTACTTTCAAATCACCGCTGTGTCTGACCTCAATAATGGGAACCTATTGGCACTGATACTAGCGAATGAAATTTGAAGTTAACTTTATCATACGTTAGTCACTGTTTCACAAGTAATTGTTAATATTTAAACAAAAATGCTGACCTTTAAGATATTTTTAGTGGTGGGTATTGTGGAAAATACTGTATATATTTTCCGGAAATACGGTAATTTATAGGTACATATATGCCCTATATTGTATTTTTAAAAGAAGTATGTTATCGAAAATGGGAAACCTGCGGCTGGGGAAGACAGTCGCCATTTGTTTGAATGGAGTAAGACGTTAATTAATAATGTGAAGAATTTTCGTGCTCTAGAGGTTAAAATTGGATTGACACCTCTCAAATAGGAGGCGAAATTGTTGGATGTGCAGTCCTGCATAACTTGAGATATCAGGCGACTGGACAAGACAGCTACAGGAACCTCAGATAAGTTTTATGTAGTAACCTGGTCAGTGTTATTTTCATAGACAGTGAGGTTTTCTGAGTATGATACACATTAATCTCCAGTCAAATTGGTGAGTGATATTAAGATATTTTCCTTCTGTTATATAAATGTGTGTGTGTGTATATATATATAATCATTTATTATTTTTAATATACAGTCCACAAATTTATATATTTACCAGAATTCCTGGTGATGTATCTTTTATTTATAATTAATAGGTCCAGAGCAACTTGTGGATATGACAGTGGTAGGTATCAAAGGGGGACATTTTTTGCGACCTAGGTGTCCCAAATTCCTACTTGTCTAACTGATAAATAATAATTATCTGTTCATTTACTGTTATGTACATAATGATACATTCTGATAAATGCAATTTTCCAAATTTAATTTGCCCGTTGGTCCTTCTTGAGCCAGAGGTAATTAGTTAAGTCATTAATTAGCTAATTACTTAATAATTATATGTGAAATAACAGGAGGTGGATGTTAAGTTCACAAATTTACTTAATGTGTAGTGGATTATAACTATTACAATATTAATTTTGATAAGTCAAGTCTGGCTAAGTTTATATTAATTTGTATAATATTAATTTGATAAGACAATTCTGGCCAAGATTTATATCAGTGTATGTGTAATTGATATATTAATGTGTATAATATTAATTTTGCTATGCCAAATTCTGGCAAGGATTTATTAATTTGTATAATATTAATTTTGATAAGCCAAGTCTGGCTAAAGGTTTGTTTGTATTAATGTACATTTGAAGTTCATATTATTTTCTTACACGTAACTGCTAAGCTCAAGTAGCTAGGATTTATTCAAAGGTAAGTTGTATCAGTTGTAAGTTGTGATCAGTGTTATTAATAAAGTTGAATTTAATACATTGCATCATGGCTGAAAATGAGGAAATTAATATAGAAGACAAACATATGGAATATAGAGTAAAGAAAGCATCACTACAGGCTAGAAAAGTTCATGTAACCAAGGCATATAATAAGTGCTTGGAATTAATGAATCAAGAAACTGTGAATACTGATGATTTAAAATTGTATTTAGATGCTTTAGGGAATAGATATGATTCATACAAATTATATTGCAACAAATATGAAGGAGATTTATTAGTAAACTGTGCAGATGAGACTGAAGTAGATCTTATGATTAATCAGTATTGTGAATTAGAGGAAAAGATTCTTGTAAAAGTCAGGCCTTGAATAAATTAAAATGTGTAAACCAGGCAGTTAATCAGTCTGCTCCAACAAATATGTCTTTGCCAAAACTCCCAGAATTATGTTTACCTGTATTTAATCCTGGTGAAAATTGGGAGGAATTTTGGTCAATTTTTAAAGCAGCTGTGCATGACAGGAGTGACCTAGCCTGTGTAACTAAATTATTTTACCTCAAAGGACAGGTAAGAGGAGATGCTCACATACTCATACAAGCCTTTCCCAATGTAAATGACTCTTACAAGGAAGCAGTTGACTTGTTGAAAGTCACTTATGGTAATATAGAACAAAGTAGGTTGGATCTAGTGAATATCATTGTTAATTTAAAATCTCCAGATCATACTTACAAAGGTTTACAGCAGTTTAGAGTTAAACTGGAGAGCACTCTCAAAACTTTAAGTAATAAATATAATCTGAAGGAATCAGACTGGTTATTGAGTGCCATTGTACAGAATAAATTAAACTATAAAACACTTGAATGGCTCTCGAACAAATATCACAAGGGTTATTTGGGTCTGGAGGAAACAAGACTAGGTCTACAAGAATTAATTGTGCAGTTGCAGACCAGCCAACCAACTCATTTTAAAGATGCAACACATAATAACTCCGAGGTATCTGTAAAGTTTCACAAAGGGAAAAATTATCCCAATGGTAATAGTCAAAATTCATTTCCTAAAAATAGCTGCATAGGTGCATATAAGAGAGATAAGATTTCGTTCGGATTTTTAACCCCGGAGGGTTAGCCACCCAGGATAACCCAAGAAAGTCAGTGCGTCATCGAGGACTGTCTAACTTATTTCCATTGGGGTCCTTAATCTTGTCCCCCAGGATGCGACCCACACCAGTCGACTAACACCCAGGTACCTATTTGCTGCTAGGTGAACAGGACAACAGGTGTAAGGAAACATGTCAAAATGTTTCCACCCACCAGGAATCGAACCCGGGCCCTCCGTGTGTGAAGCGGGAGCTTTAGCCACCAGGCCAATAATGATTCTTCACAAGGAAAGAAGAATAAGTACCCTCCTAAGAGTAGCCCAGTTAATAAAAAACCAGTCAAAGAAAAGAGAGATTGTCTCTTCTGCAAGGGTACTCATTTTTCTAAGAATTGCAATGCATACAATTCATGGAATGATAAAGTTGAAAGATTGGAGGAACTTGACAGATGTATCAGGTGTTTAGGTAATCACAATGTAAAGGATTGTCATGCCAAATTAAACAACTGTTATCAATGTCACAAAGGAAGACACCATATAGTCATGTGTAAGGGTCTATATGAAAATGTTGATAATTATGATAATGTTGACAGTCCTGACACAACAGTAGTTAATGTAAAAATTGCTGCTAATGTTAATAATGATGGTTTTGCTGAAGTAGCCTTACCTGAGTTACAGGTAAAAATTGATGATAAAAGGCATAAATCAAAAAATGTATATGCATTATTGGACCAGGGATCCCAGCATACTTTCATAAAACGTAAATGTCTTGATGAGATGAAAGTACAGATGGGAGATCCCACAACTTTAAAATTATGTGGTTTTCTCTCAGATAAAAGAGCTCAATTGTATGACACTGTTTTATGTAACTGTCAGGTTGGGCAATGAGAAAAAACGTGTTATTGCAGTAATTGTAGATAGACTTCCAGAGAAAATATCTACAGTAGGGCTTAGTAAAGCTACAGAAAGACTTTCACATAATGTAAATTTAGCACCTTCTGGTGTAAGTGATGATTCTGAAGGCCCAATAAATATTGTGATAGGTAGTGACTATTATGCCTCCTTTGTAAAGGGTATGGTAAAGAAATGCGGTGTCACCCTTTTGAAGACTGCAGGAGGCCATGTAATGTATGGTAGGATTCCTCGTAATAATAATTCATGACTAGAGGAAACTACAAATACCGTAACTGTGTGTCTTACTCATGAAATCGTGCCCCAGTATAATTCTTCCATAGAGGATGTGTTGAGCCAGTGCATAAATTGTGGGAATTAGACAGCATTGGAATAAATGTAAATGAAGAAAGTCCAGACGATTCTTTTACTCAAGAACAATACCTGAGAGATGTAAAATTTAAATCTGGACAATACTGGGTACGACTTCCGTGGAGACTGAACCATCCAGAATTGCCCACTAATTACAGAATGGCATATGGACAGTTAAAGGCTCAGCTCCACGAACTGAGTAAGACACCAGAATTGTTAACTGCCTATAATTGCTGAGCAGTTAATTAATAAATTTATAGAAGAGGTGCCTCCTGAGCAAGCAAAAATTTATGGTCACTATTTGCCACATCACGGAGTGAAGAAGGATTCTAAGACCACTCCTTTGAGGATTGTGTTTAATTGTAGTGCCAGGAGTAACAAAAATGTACCTAGTTAAATGACTGATGACAGGTCCATCGTTGACGGAAAAATTAGGAGATATCTTATTAAATTTCATGGTGAAGAATTATGCCTTTACGGCTGACGTAAGTAAACCTTTCCTAAGAGTGGGTTTACAAGAGGCTGACCGGGATTGTACCCGCTTCTTATGGCCTGAGAATCCTATTGACCCACTTAGCCCTCTGAAAACCTTTCGCTTTAGGAGAGTATTATTTGGTGCTACATCCAGTCCGTTCCTACTTCAAGCAACGATAAATGCACACCTTAAATGTGCGGAAAGTCCATTGAGTAAAGTAATGAGCAAACAATTTTATGTGGACAATTTCCTGGGTGTGACGTCAACTGAAGAGGAACTGTTAATGACTTACAGAGAGGCTATTAAAATAATGCAAAGTGCAAATATGCCTCTGAGGGAATGGAATAGTAATTTGTCCAAATTAAAGGACAAAATAAGTAAAGATTACCCTGGAGATGAAGTGCCAAAATATAGTAATGTATTGGGTTTAACTTGGGATACTGAGAGAGATTTGTTAATGTTAAAACCTAATAATTACAGTATGCCCAATAAATTAACTAAGAGAGTTTTGCTTGCTGAAGTTTCCAAATGTTTTGATCCACTAGGTTTAGTGTCACCCCATACTATAAGAGGGAAATTATTAATACAGGAAGCATGGAAACTTAAATGTGCTTGGGATGAAATTCTACCTGAGGAATTCATTAACAGGTGGGATGAATTAATTGGCGATTATGAAAAAATTCCAATGTTGGAGTTCCCACGCCAGGTGGCCAATCCAAATGGGAAAAATGTACTCCACATTTTTTGTGATGCTTCAAAATTGGCAATATGGAGCAGTTGCTTACCTTCAATGTAATAGTGTTATTTCTCTTGTTATGT